GCACGCATCGATTGGGGCAGGGCGGAGCTAGCGACGTAGGGTCCCGCAACGAATACCTGGCGCCGGCCCAAATTGTTGGCAAATTGCCTCTGCCAGGGGTAGGAATCAATAGCGCCTAACTGCTTGCAGCGTTCCCATCACTCCTGCTCTCCCCATCAACATCGTTCATTGACATCCGCCTCTTTCTCGATCGTTCCTGATCACCTGACTTCGAAGGGGTGATTCTTCGATTGGGTAGTCAGCCCAGCTGAGCTGGGCAATCGGAATGTCTGTTCCTTCCAGTGGAATCTCCAAATACCCATTTGAGCGGAGTCAACCAATGGGTGTCAATGCTAATGGATACAGTTAAGCACATCTGAGCACAAGCTGCGCTGCGAGCGGCGACAAGAAGCAAGCCAACCACAGTATTAACGCCACGCTACCGTAACCCAAAGCGGCGCCCAGTTAATTGTAACTCCGCAGTGGACGTACGTATAACACTGAACTTACGCCAGTACCACTACGAGAATTGTGCGGAAAGGCTTGCATAACTGCAACAGGGATGGGTGGGAAGTTTCGTGCACATTTCACTTATGCTTTCTTTCGTCTAAACGGATGTTCTTTATGTTTGGCATATGCGCAGCGTATGCCAAAATATAGAACCTCTAGGTCGAGACATATCATGTCGCACGTTGACCATACTACGCTTACAACGCTTTTTTCTAGCTATTTGCAATTGGAGAATAATTACATGAATATAAAGAGGCAAATTACTAGGCAAAAACTACTTTTGAGTTATTCCAGACCAGAATATTCTTTTACAAGTGGTTTCCCAAACTTATCGCATGAAATTTCACTGCATGCTTAGTGATTGGAAAAGCGAAAAACGTCACTATCACTAGACATAAAAAGTAGTGATCTGATTACTGACATGACATTTTTCGTGACGATACCATTTGGCGCCAGTTTGGTGCAACTACAGTTCAGACTCAGTTCGCTACAGACTGGTAGTTAGATTGGAGAGGTAATCCAGGGTCTCGAGTGCAAACACGACTTGGTTCTTAGTGCTGACAAGAAACTTCAGGGTCAGGATAGTGACTGGCAGTACCAAATACTCCTAGACAATGTTTTTCGC